CCCTTTCCCATCTTGCATTCGAAGATCCTCTTCAATGCAAAGATGCGTTCCCAATTGTTCAAGAGTCATATCTTCCTTTTTGTGTTTCAAGGAACGCTTCACATCCTTCCAACTCGGTGGAAGTTTGTCAACAATGGACGAGACCTTTATGGTTTCATCCATAGTCAATTTGTGTTGTGCAAATTGACTCAAGATCCTTTGTAATTCATGGAATTGCTCCACGACCGATCTCGAATCAACCATTTTATAAGCATTGAAGTTGCTTACAAGAAATCTTTTACTAGAGGCATCTTCAGAGAGATACTTTGCCTCCAATGAATTCCACAAATCTTTTGCGGTTTCTATGTGTTGATAAACATCAAACAAAGCATCGGACATACCGTTCAGAATGTGACCGCAGCAAACGTAGTTGTCATTGTCCCATTTGTTCCGTATACGTGCTTGCGCCAAGGTTTCCTCTTCGGTCTCTTCTGGCCTGGGTGTGCTTATCACGTAGACGACGTTTAGCGTCGTCAACAGAAATTGCATCTTCTTTTGCCACCTTCGAAATCCCACACCCTCGAATTTATCGAGTTTTTGAAAATCGATGGTCAGATCCCTCATAGAAGTAGTCATCCCAAGAATAACGTTTTCGATTGTATGAGAAAAGGATAAGAAAAGAATGGGAACCGGATAACGGGATACCGAAAACACGTTTATGAGATACAAAGAAGAGACAGTGATTTTGTTTTGCTCTACAACAATCACCAAGACAAGAAACTTGTGTAGAAAAAGATGAACACAACACTTTTTGATTGATTTGCAAGAACAATCAAAAAGTTCACTCAAAATCTCTCAAATTTGGGTTAGATCTGTATATTCAACTTGTTCTGACGTCTTCTATATATAAAACACTAAAAGACATCATCAAAAGTTGTAAAATATGGCAGTTTTCTGGTAGTTTTCAAGCGAAGAATCGTGTCTTCTCGAGAAAACTGACTCAGACTGAGTGATAACTGACTTTTGTCGAGTTACCACTGACGCACTCGCGGACTGAGTTACAACTGACTCATAGCGAGGTATCCCTGACGCGTTTTACTACCAAAACAAATACATGTTTTATTGATTCATATTATATCATTTACGAACATTTAGCTCCTCCACCACATCCGTAATATGTATAACAATGAATCTCTTGAGAGATTATTATTGTCAACCTTTTTACTCTAAAATATACAACACAAGTTACTTGAATTTCTGGTCCGGTCATCCTATCGATATTCTCATCCGCTTACTAATGTACGTCCAGGAAGAGGAAGATGTTATGAACTCAGATCAATTTGTAAAGAAACAAGCAGAAAATTCCTTTCTTAACAAACCAAAACAAGTGGGTTTGATTAATGAGAGACCCCTTCTCTCCCCTTTACATGACAATTCCCAGAATCAAAACGTGCCCCTCACTTCTTCTACTAGCCGTCCATATACTGCAGCTTCAGCGGCAGATGCTGAGCTGTACTAAAACCGTTTCTTCTACCAAAAACATGTACATGCCCAAAAGCAAAACTGTAATCATAAGCAATAACAGAATAACATCATAATTAGCCGCTCTGGAATTTCTGCTCTGTTGTCTGTGGAACCTTCCTCTCAAACCGAAGCTTCTCCTGACATCTCTTCCTTCTTCCTTCAGCCCTTAACATAAACTTGAAAAGGCATAACAGAAGATGTCGGGTTTTGGACATCGTGTTGTTTACAGAAACTATGATCCCGAGCAAAAGTCATTAAGAAACTGGCAGAGGAAGTATTTTCTATTGTTGGAAGGGATCCTCTGTTTGAGGTATACATCTCATGTCATTTATAATCAAGTCTCTCTTAGAAAATAACACAAACCTGTTCAGTTCAGTGAATAGTTGATCTTCTTAGAAGGGATGTTGGTTAGATATTTAAGGATCTGATGATTTGTTAGTAGCTGTTGCTCTGGAGAAGGCTGCACTCTCAGGCGATTACTTTGTCAAGAGAAAGCTTTACCCTAACCTCGATTTCTACTCTGGATCGATATATAGGTAAATGATAAATCCAGATTTTGTGTGCATCTCTTCCCCTCAAACACTCTACAACAATTCCATTAAGTCGGTAATCTTCAAAAACAGAGCAATGGGATTAGGAAAGCATGATAATTATGTAGTGAAAGATTGGATTTTAGAGGGTTAAGGTGAAGAGCTGATCGATGATGCATTAGTTATGATGGAATGAGTGTTGCTATTTGGTGAGACACTTAAGAAACAATGTTAGCTATCCTGGTCGGAGTAACTGTTGTTTTGTATGTTGACGGGTTTGCGGAATTTTTGCAGGCTTTAGATTCTGGATCCCTGTTAGCGTACTTCACCTTTTGGTATGAATTCTCTCCTTTTGCCATTCTATAAATTAAATTAATCCAATTAAACATGTTATATATACACACACACACGCACTCAAACTTATCATAGACGCTATGTCATTTAATATATTATACAATATTAGCACTCTATAATCAATTATTGAGTTTGACTGCTGGCTGAAATCGGTACATTTTACTGATAATTTGTTTTATTGAAAATAGAAAGGAGTAATAGAACACGTATAATATATATAAACATGCGAATCTACATTAATTGAGTCCGGACAGACATGCATCCTAAATATCTCTTTCGTGGCATGCACGTTATTCACACCACAACGAAAGAAGATTATGATTTGATTAAATAAATAGCCCATCAGGGAAAAAAAACACAATTTCACTAACAATTGCTAGTATAAGTTCAAAAGAGACATGCATCCTCCAGTGATCACATCATACACATGGATTCATTTATGACACGAGGACGGGGGATGTTGCTGAAGACTGGCACTTGGCGGTGGTAAGGAAATAATCAGAGAGAGAGGCAAAAGGAGAGAATTCATACCAAAAGGTGAAGTACGCTAACAGGGATCCAGAATCTAAAGCCTGCAAAAATTCCGCAAACCCGTCAACATACAAAACAACAGTTACTCCGACCAGGATAGCTAACATTGTTTCTTAAGTGTCTCACCAAATAGCAACACTCATTCCATCATAACTAATGCATCATCGATCAGCTCTTCACCTTAACCCTCTAAAATCCAATCTTTCACTACATAATTATCATGCTTTCCTAATCCCATTGCTCTGTTTTTGAAGATTACCGACTTAATGGAATTGTTGTAGAGTGTTTGAGGGGAAGAGATGCACACAAAATCTGGATTTATCATTTACCTATATATCGATCCAGAGTAGAAATCGAGGTTAGGGTAAAGCTTTCTCTTGACAAAGTAATCGCCTGAGAGTGCAGCCTTCTCCAGAGCAACAGCTACTAACAAATCATCAGATCCTTAAATATCTAACCAACATCCCTTCTAAGAAGATCAACTATTCACTGAACTGAACAGGTTTGTGTTATTTTCTAAGAGAGACTTGATTATAAATGACATGAGATGTATACCTCAAACAGAGGATCCCTTCCAACAATAGAAAATACTTCCTCTGCCAGTTTCTTAATGACTTTTGCTCGGGATCATAGTTTCTGTAAACAACACGATGTCCAAAACCCGACATCTTCTGTTATGCCTTTTCAAGTTTATGTTAAGGGCTGAAGGAAGAAGGAAGAGATGTCAGGAGAAGCTTCGGTTTGAGAGGAAGGTTCCACAGACAACAGAGCAGAAATTCCAGAGCGGCTAATTATGATGTTATTCTGTTATTGCTTATGATTACAGTTTTGCTTTTGGGCATGTACATGTTTTTGGTAGAAGAAACGGTTTTAGTACAGCTCAGCATCTGCCGCTGAAGCTGCAGTATATGGACGGCTAGTAGAAGAAGTGAGGGGCACGTTTTGATTCTGGGAATTGTCATGTAAAGGGGAGAGAAGGGGTCTCTCATTAATCAAACCCACTTGTTTTGGTTTGTTAAGAAAGGAATTTTCTGCTTGTTTCTTTACAAATTGATCTGAGTTCATAACATCTTCCTCTTCCTGGACGTACATTAGTAAGCGGATGAGAATATCGATAGGATGACCGGACCAGAAATTCAAGTAACTTGTGGTTCAAAAAATAACTTACCTGTTCTTCACACCCTCGATTAACTCTCGGATTTTTCAACGGTTCCAATCTCCGATAATATCTTTAACACAGCCTGATGGAACCAAAGATGTTAGCACAAAAAAGAAAAACGTATAAAATTTGGACACCAGTTTAAACCTCATTTGCACCACCATGCAGGGGACCATATAGTGCACCAACAGCTCCGGCCACAGCAATGTACACATCAACACCACTGCAGAAACACGTGATTCAGTAAGATACCTCTTACCAGACTCGTTCGTCATCATGCCCAAACCAAAGAAAAGAGATGTACCTGGAAGCAAGATGCCTGGCAACAGCAGTGGAACAATTCATTTCATGTTCCGCATGCAGTATAAACAGGATGTCCAGGACTCGAGCCAGTCGAGGATTAGGTTTGTAAGACCTATTGCCCCTGTGATCATTTGAAAAATAGAAACTTGTTGGGACAGTGATTTCAGAAACTATGCAACTGTTCGACATGATCAATGCTTCCTATGAATGGGTTTAGGAAACATAAATCAGACATAAAAATCTTAAACATTGTTGATGATCCTTTCAAGTGTCTAACCAAATTAAGAGGAAAGTGATAGTGGGCAGTCACATACATGGAATCCAGGATATAGAGGAAATTCTCTGCATAAGAAAGGTTGCTAGAAGGAAGAACTGGAGGCCTTCCTGCCATCCTCAGATACGCAGCTGCTGCAAAAGCAGGTGCCTGCAAACGCATTCGATTTCATAAGCACATTGCAAAACTTCAGTCCAAAACCCACATTTAAATTCAAATCCATTTAGTCGCCGAGGCAATAAGCTCGAACGTTACTTCATCGACTCCTTGATATATTGTGAACAATGCCTTCTTCTCTCTCTTTCGTAGATCTTTGTGTTTCTCCTCTTCATTCTCCGGTACTGTCTCTGATTCGACATAACCGTTCTCCACCATGTCCCATACATCATGGGATCCGAGAAGAGCCTCCATTTGGATACTCCACCTACGATAGTTGTCTTTCGTAAGTTGCAGAACTTGCGATTGGATCGAACTCGTCGACGCCATGATATCCCGGCTCTGATACCACTTGTAAGCTCAAATGGAAAAAGGGAAAACATACCTTTCCAAGAATGCGAACAATCTGTTTGTCTCTAACTTGTTTAGACTTGTAAATATCATGGTCATGCACCCATTGCGAAGTCCCGACAAACCAATAAACAAACTAAAGCATAGTATATTCATATGGCCAGTTTCAGAAAGAGCTCATCTTAACAACACCGACAACACAATTGCAGACATGTCATTAGACAAGAAGTCAGTCCCAACTTACCCTGACAGCAGGGTTTGCATCAGGATGAAAGACCCATTGCACTAACAAGAACTCTCATTGGGTGAGTATCATGAGGCATAGACTGTAAGCTCTTAGGCTTTTTCTTTATATACTTTTATAAGTATATGAATGAGAAGAGAGGAGGAGAAATCCTCAAAATACTTCTTCTTCTTTGTATTTCTTTTCTTATGTTTTGTTGTTGTTCTACAAACTCCAAAACTCCACCTATAATTTTGAGGATTTCTCCTCCTCTCTTCTCATTCATATACTTATAAAAGTATATAAAGAAAAAGCCTAAGAGCTTACAAGTGGTATCAGAGCCGGGATATCATGGCGTCGACGAGTTCGATCCAATCGCAAGTTCTGCAACTTACGAAAGACAACTATCGTAGGTGGAGTATCCAAATGGAGGCTCTTCTCGGATCCCATGATGTATGGGACATGGTGGAGAACGGTTATGTCGAATCAGAGACAGTACCGGAGAATGAAGAGGAGAAACACAAAGATCTACGAAAGAGAGAGAAGAAGGCATTGTTCACAATATATCAAGGAGTCGATGAAGTAACGTTCGAGCTTATTGCCTCGGCGACGACGTCCAAAGAGGCGTGGGAAATTTTAAAGAAATCTTATGAAGGAGTCGATAAGGTAAAGAAAATTCGATTGCAATCTTTACGATCGCAATTCGAAAGTCTACAACAAGGGAGTTCCGAGTCGATCTCGGATTACATTTCACGGGTAATCACCATTGTTCATCAAATGGCGACAAATGGCGAGACGTTGAAAGACGTTCGGGTCGTGGAGAAAATTTTGAGGTCCCTTGACTCAAAGTTTGATTCCGTGGCCGTTGTGATCGAAGAATCTAAAGACTTAGATTCAATGACGGTGGAAGAACTTCTTGGTTCTTTGAAAGTGTTTGAAGATAGACTGAATCGGAGAAAAGGAGAAGAAAAATCCGTTGAGCATGCGCTCGAAGCAAAGCTCTCTCTGAAGACCGAAAAATCAAGAGGAGGTTATCAACAACGACGAGGAAGAGGTGGAAATTACGGACGAGGAGGTCCTAGATCAAATTATCGGGTGCCAACCAACAACCATAACGATTATGGAGAAAATCAAGCTGAGTATGGTCGTGGTGGCCAAGGTCAAAGCTGGAACCGAGGTCGTGGTCGTGGATTTGAAAGAAGCAATGGAGGGAGATACGATAAGTCCATAATACAGTGTGACATTTGTCAGAAATATGGCCATCACTCTAATGATTGTTGGCACAATCCGAGAAACAATGAAGGAAGGTATGACAAATCCGGAACTCAATGTCATATTTGTAAGAAGTTCGGTCATTACTCGTATGATTGTTGGCATAATCCCGATAACAATGGTGGAAAGAAAGTTAATATGGTGGAAAAAGAAGGTGATGATGCAGAAGAAGTGTTGATGTTATCACAAAATAAAGTCGAATCAAGCGGTGAGTCAGAACCATTTGTTACATGGTATCTTGACACGGGAGCATCCAACCATATGTGCGGGAGAAAGGAGTTATTTACAAAGCTTGTCGAAAGGAACTTTGGCAATATCACGTTTGGTGATCTTTCAAAGAGACCAATTCAAGGGAAAGGGGAAGTCACACTGACCTTCCCGAACAAGAGACAGGTTTGCATCTCGAATGTCTATTATGTTCCCGATATTAAAAGTAATTTGTTGAGTGTGGGACAATTGTTGGAGAAAGGTTTTGATGTAAGGTTGAAGAATACATCCCTTACCATCTGAGACAAAAATGACAAATTGATCACAACTGTGGAGATGACGAAAAACCGGATGTTTCCGTTGAGGCTGAGAAAGACGAGGAGCATTCGGGAGATTTATTCAACTCAACCGATAGAACCCGGGTTTGATGAAGAGTTCACTAATTTTTGTCTTTTTGCTGGATTTGATCCAGTGACATATGAAGAAGCTTCTAGGGAGAAGAAGTGGATGAAGGCCATGGAAGAAGAGATTCAGGCCATACGAAAAAATAACACATGGGAGCTCACTTCATTGCCTCAAGGACACGAAGCCATTGGAGTTAAATGGGTGTTCAAAACAAAGAGGAATGCCAAAGGAGAAGTGGAAAGGCATAAGGCAAGGTTGGTAGTGAAAGGATACAAACAAAAGCATGGAGTTGACTATGAAGAAGTCTTTGCTCCTGTAGCTCGGTTGGAAACGGTGAGATTATTGATCTCACTCGCAGCTCAGAAGAGATGGAGGATGTATCAGATGGACGTAAAATCAGCGTTCTTAAATGGAAATCTCGAAGAAGAAGTGTATGTTGAACAACCGCCGGGATTTGTTATTGCGGGACATGAGAAAAAGGTGTACAGGCTGAAAAGAGCTCTTTATGGGCTCAAGCAAGCACCGAGAGCTTGGAATACCAGAATCGATGCTTACTTTGTTCGAGAAGGATTCATGAAGTGTCCATATGAACACTCCTTATACGTGAAGGTCAAAGGTACTAATGTGTTATTCATATGTCTATATGTGGATGATCTGGTATTCACAGGCAATAACAATACCATGATTCAAGAATTCAAGCAATCGATGGAGAAAGAATTTGAGATGACGGATTTGGGCATGATGAAATATTTTTTGGGCATCGAAGTACATCAAGGTGAAGGTAACATTTTTATCTCCCAAGAGAAATATGCGACTGACATTTTGCAAAAGTTTTCGATGGATGATTCTTTGCCCATAGACACACCGGTGGAGTGTGGTACGTGATTGACGAAGGAAGGAGAAGGAAAGCCCATAAACCTGACATATTACAAGAGTCTTGTGGGTTGTGTAAGGTATCTGACTTGTACTCGACCTGATATTTTATATGGAGTAGGATTGGTTAGTCGGTACATGGAGAACCCAAAGTCTTCCCATCTTGAAGCTGCTAAGCGGATTCTCAGATACATCAAAGGGACAGTTGGTTACGGGTTATTATATTCATCTAAAGGAGAAGCAGAACTCATTGGTTATAGTGACAGTGATTGGGCTGGAAGTTATGATGATCGCAAGAGCACTACCGGGTTTGTGTTCTATTTTGGTGATGCAGCATTTACTTGGTCTTCAAAGAAGCAATCGATTGTTGCTCTGTCAACATGTGAAGCGGAATATATAGCGGCATCTTCATGTGTTTGTCATGCTATATGGTTGAGGAGACTCCTTGGACAGTTGATGTTGAAGCAAGAAAATACAACAAAGATTTATGTGGATAACAAGTCAGCTATTGCTCTGGCGAAGAACCCTGTTCATCATGAGCATTCGAAACATATCGACACACGGTTTCATTTCATTCGGGAGCATGTCAAGGCTAAAGATGTTGATTTGTTGCATGTGAGTTCAGGTGATCAAGTTGCAGATATTTTTACGAAGGCTTTGAAGACGGATGCATTTCAACACTTTCGAAAGCAGCTCGGAGTCCAAGTTCAAGGAGGAACAAGTTTAAGGGAGGCTAATGTTGGAAATTAAACTTGCCCTAGTATTTTGTGTTCTAGTTTTGGGTGTTCAAAATACTCCTAGTTTTCAAGAAAATAATTATGCTAAGTTAGACCAAAATTAATCATGTATCATTATGGTGTTTTACTAGAATGTTCTTAGGATTACTATATATATAGGTGGAGTTTTGGAGTTTGTAGAACAACAACAAAACATAAGAAAAGAAATACAAAGAAGAAGAAGTATTTTGAGGATTTCTCCTACTCTCTTCTCATTCATATACTTATAAAAGTATATAAAGAAAAAGCCTAAGAGCTTACATAGACTGTATAATATCCTGCAAAAACATTCATAATAAGAAATATCAAGTCAAAACAAACATATTTTTTCACCAAACACTTGCTTTTCAAAATCGCCGTTTGACCATTGTAAAACATTTCGAGTTGATTGGACAGCAACATAATTTGATGTCGATCGAGGGTTCTGAACTCAGCTTAGAGCTCTTGAGCTATAGATATGCGACGAATGTACCGGCGATTTTGAAAAGCAAGTGTTTGGTGAAAAAATATGTTTGTTTTGACTTGATATTTCTTATTATGAATGTTTTTGCAGGATATTATACAGTCTATG